CATTTACTTATGGATTTTAATCAGAAACATTGATTAATTGCAGTAAACTAACATATTTATTTAGTAATTAAATCATAATACAGAGGGTAAGTGAATTCGCTGTGAAAACAAAGATTGTAAAATTGAGTAATAATTTTATAAAAGAAAATTTAAAAAAAACTACAAACATCTTGACTGGCTTCCTCACATTAACAAACTACAAAAAAACAGTATTTTTTCATTTTTCAGTAGTTTTTATATTCAGTATTTTTTTTTATCTCAAAAAGTCACTGACACTAAGATTCCATTAACTATCATTACATATATATTTTTCTTGTTTAATGCCAAGTTATTCTTGAACCTTGGGTAGCTGTATAGGATGCTTGTAAGGGGTCTTGGAACTGACATTTGATGAAAGGAAAGACACATAATTGGACCACTAATGAAGAAAATGTGTGTTGAAAAATTTTAATGAAAATTATGTGTGGAAATTTATTTGTTACATAATTGGAAGTCATATAATGGATTTAGAAGTATTTCAATTAACAGTATCTTATGTATCAGCAGAAAGTTCTGAGCATGAATTTATTATGTATGACAAAGGCTGTATTTAAATCTCTGGTCTAGAAAAAATAAAAATAATTATTTTTTTTTTGAAAAATATAAAAAATAGAAGTATAAACAGAACTCACCACCATCAGTTCATGCAACTGAAGTCAAACATTTTAATACACTGTGTAAGTTACCTCACAAATATTTGCGATTGCAAAAGATTCTTCAGCAACTTTCTCTCATGTCGCAATTTGAATAAAAATCCTATTATAGGATCACAATCACAATAGAAATAATCTTCTATTTTCACCCTCAAAACTAACTTTTATTGAGACAATAGGTATTTTAATTATTTTGTTACATCTCACTTTGGTTATTCTATTAAGCCAGAACTAATTTGCAGACATTTGTAATATTTAAATAATTTAATGATATGAGATATCAAACATTTTCCAGGCCTATATACACAGGAAGTTTGATAAGCCATTACTCAATTACAGTCTCAAATATTTGCTGCAGTGTGAGCATGTAGAATGTAAAACAATTTGTTATTGATATGTACTTATCCTCAAAATAACTGCCTCCACGCATTAGCCAAGTTAAACTAATTTTGTAGAAATATTGAATAAGAAAAATACCCCCGCCGCAGCAAACCTGAAGACTAAGCGAATTTCCATTTGCATAATTGGATTTTCACTAAGATGCCTCCTTAAAAATATCAAATTTATTCCATATTTAAATAGAATTAGTTTAACGAGTACTTAGGTTTGCTGCAACAGGGAGGGTAAAAAAGTGATTTTTGTTGTAAAATGTTAATAGTTTAAAGAAACGGGTGTATTTTCCAAATTTGATCAAAATATGTTCATAAACAAGCAAACAGTTGACTTATTCTCCATAATATGGGAATTTTAAATTTACAATTTTTTTGGAATTTTCTCCGTAACCATTAGGGGCATAATAACGCTTCAATATACTAAATTATTTGTTTTTTAAGCTCTACAAAATGGGTTGGAAAGAAATTATAAAATATTGTGTTTTTAGAGTCGAAAATGGGAAAACCCTATTTTTACCCCATAAAACCCCCCATAAACCCCCGTCCCATAGTCCAATCATTCTGGTTCGCAAACTAGTTAGAATAAATGTAGGTTTTGTAGCACTCAAGTGAAAACACACTTACAATAACATTATCACTCCTTACATCAACCAACAGCACTTTAGAAACTCCATTCAACTACGAATAGCATCCAAACTGAAAGAGTACCGGTATATAATGTGTGTCACAACTAGTTAGTTAATAAATATTAATAAATCAATAGTAATTTAGTAATATACCTACCAGACAATCAAAGCCATAGCATTTAAGTAGAAAACATTAGATTTTTTTCCTTTTATCCTCAGTAAATTAAATTTCTTTTTTTTATTAGGTAGAACACTTTCTTAATGTTAGTAAAATCTTTTAGATCATAAGTATCAGTACCTTAAGTAGAGTAGTCGCGATCGATTTTTACCGAATATTTAGGGAATATATCAGTGATAACAAAGACCAAAATAATTAAACATCAATCAAAACAATCTCCAAATTCACATCTCAGTCAACGTATCCTCAACCTTAAAATAAAGGAAACATCTAATAACACTTAAAACATAAATTTACGCTTATACTGTTACTCACAAAACGGTACATAAAAGATGGTAAGTAGTGATCGATTTCGATTGGACACTTCAATCATCATCAGACCCAATAGGCGAATGACAAGAATCCAAAGGACTCAAAGGGACGCCATTTTGATTCTTGTCGTTCGCCTATTAGGTCGGATGATGATTGGAGTGTCCAATCATAATCGATCACTACTTACCATCTTTTATGTATATTTACCGTTTTGTGAGTAACAGTATAAGCATAAATATATGTTTTAAGTGTTATAGGACGTTTCTTTTATTTACTTTATGTAAATTTATTAAAATGTACAATGCTGATCAAGAAGTTATTTAGTAATTCCCGCTCGCTTGATCAGCTGATTTCACTCTTGGTGTTTCTATAAAACGCTAACATCTGGTAAGCAAACAACATAACCTAAAAAAAGCAAACATAGAATAGAATCTGTTATTTTTAAAGACATCGGGTGCCATAGCCTAAATTATAGTTTATTTACAGCTAAAAAGTTAATCTGCGTGTTATGATAAGTTATGGTGATACTGATAGGAAAAATCTTGTGTGCACTACAAGCACTAACCATTGACCGCTCTCAAAATGTTCATCTACAGTTCTCAAGCGGCAATGACATACTTTGCGCACTTAATACACAAATTGTTGACAATATATTCAATACAGGTATATTGCTAAGAACAAGAACCTATAAATGGCAAAGTCATAGCTCATCCAACTTTAATTTAGATTCCATATTTTTGCTTCTTGGTAAATAAAGACATTTTAGTTCTGGAATAATATAATTGGTTGAGTAGACTCATACTTGATATAAAGATGGCTAGAATGGGGACAGATCTCTCACATGATTAAGTTAGGGGAGAGGGGAGTGTTATAAGGGAGCTGTCTGGGCCTCATTTTATTTACCATTTCCCCTGCAGACCTATCCAGTTGTGTACACTTCTACCTATGAGGTTTATGTATGAGGCATTTATCCTATGAGGTAAATTCAATTGACCAAGATTTTACGAGGGTGAACTCGGATTTGATGAATTGATATGCATGATGAATTCACTCACTGATGTGAGTGGTCCATGAAACATTGTTTCAAATTAAACGGAGAATAACACACTGTACTTTACATTACTCCACCTAATATTGTCCAAAGAATCATCGATCATGATGTGAAAGTAAAACTTGATGACGTAGACTTAAAGATGAGCAACATTGCCAGGATTTTGGGCATAATTATCAGCGATCTTAGTTTCACTGATTACATCACTAAAATTTCTTAGCTGGCTTTGCGTAGAATTCGGGGTCTGTACAAATAACAAATTACCATATTGGAGACAGTAAAGTTAAGATTGGTTTAGTCAGTAATTTATTTTGTATTCCCTTCCCTGCTTATGGAAACCTCATCACCATTGATAATGTAGACAGGCAAAGACTTCAGAACAATGCAGTGAGGTTTGCTTTAATTGTATAACGGTATTTGACATGGGTTATCCTGTATGTAGTCTGTATGTTTAGGAATAAAAGGTATTTCTGTTTTTCATCCCTTTTTCAAGAACCTGTGTCGGGACATAAAAACTCAGTTTATTATTAATCGGAAATTGATTTTCGACACTTAACTACATTTTGTTACGAGAGAGTTTGAGTATGGCATATCTATACCTTGATGACAAATGCGGGGAGTAAAAATTAGTATATAGTCGTGACTGAGAATTCCCCAGTTTTTCATCCCTTTTGCTCTTATTATAGACTGCCCTACTCTCTTCGGTTCGGCACACATCACACGGAATGCTGACACCTCTTGTCAGTAGAACAATCAGGCCATGCTACGACCAAACCATCGAACGTGATGTAGCAAATGTACCAAATATTTTTTGACACTAAACAAAAACCCAATCGAATTCCAACACAATGCTGGCTAGTGGAATTGTATCACGTTTCTCTTCCCAATCGCCAATTGTGCAAATAGCTTACAGTAAACCTTCATTGATCAAGACTAGTTAAGTTCCATGTTGTCTGTACAGTAGAGTCCCGTTAGTCCGAAATGGTTGGGACCGGGCCCATTTCGGATTACCGAATATTTCGGATTAAATGTTTATTTTATTTTATTTTATTTTTTAGTCTTACTTCTTACTACTTTTTTTCGGACGCAGGCACGAGCCTGGGATTGTTTTTCACATTACTTAAGGCTAGACCTATTGGCTGCAGCATTATCACTTAATAAAATCCATTTGTGATTTGGCGGACGAAAATGTAAAATGTTACAGTAATAACAAAAATGGTGAAATATTTACTAAAATACTCTACAAAAAAGTCTATCTCGCCCGGCCGCTACAGAATACTTTGACGAGGTACAGCTAACTGTGTCAAAAGTAAAAAAAAATTCAAAAAAATTTTTTTTAATAAAAAATATATTTTTTGGTTTCAGATTAAGCGGACTTTTGGATTACCGAAGTTCGGATTATCGGGACTCCACTGTATTAAATAAAATATTCTTAATATGAAGAAAAAGACACACACACACACAAGAGATGGTTACAACTGCTGAGAAACGGTTATCCAGATTAAGCAAAGTCCCATTTTAATGACGGTTTACTGTACTAATTTTGGCTGATTTCAATACAAAAAACAATTAATACACAAATTTTGGTTGTGTTGCTAGCCTAGTGGTTAGCGTCTCGGAATTCGGTGCGGGAGGGACGGGTTCAATCCCCGGCACATCCACTAAAACATTTATCTCTCGTAACTCTCGTGAAATGCCACTGGCGTAAAAAAAAAAAAAAAATACAATAACATTTTCAACAAATCTTACCTTAGCTTCTAGTTTGCTGATTTCTAGTTGGAACATTGACTTTTCTTGTTCAAGCTTCTCAAACTTGGTTTTAAGGTTCTCAAGCTCTTCCTAAAAAGCAAAAAATACATTATTAAGGAGTTATTTACATGTAGGGATGGACAGGTCTCGAAATTTTCTAGAAGTTTTAAATTTTGTTCTAGATTTTATTTTTATTAAGATTATAAAAAAAAAAAAACAGTAAAAAACGCCTGCAAAAAGTAAGTGCATTAACCGCAATACAGGAGCGTGTTGTTGTTGCGTTTCCTTTGCAAGGGCGTTCTTATTTTATTAATTCTTTACATGTAACCAATGTAAACCAATGTTTACATAAAACCAAACCAATGTAATCAATGTTTATGTGCTTTAATTGTTTTATAATTTTTTGTTTTGACATCGCAAATGATGAGAAGTTTTGTTAAGTGTAAGTAGTGTGAGACATGTTTCACTACTGTAAACATAGCCAAAACAAGTCACTCCAAATTCATTCTAAATTAACAGAAGACTGAATAAATTTTACTTGATAGTAAGACTGATAAATTTGATATTTTTCAAAGTTGATCTATATCCTAATTGATATCACCATGTAACCTATGCGTAAGAGTTATTTTTAGTAAGTTAGACCTAATTATAACATTTGTTTTTTTTTACTGATGATTTTTAGGCTAATAAAAGATTTGAAATATTCTTGCCTATTATTATTATTACTGTATTTGACCAGTTATTTGTCATAAATCAATAGGTATAAAAGGGAAATCCAGTCTCGATCTCGTCTTAAAATCTTATGAGAAATAACAAATCCTGTCTTGTCTCGAACTAAAAATCCAATCTCGTCCATCCCTATTTAAATGTTTATTTAGATTTTATGAGAACCAAAGCAGCATAACACATAAATCCCTGCTGCAGCAAACCTGTAGACCAAACAATATCTATTTATTTACAAATTATTTACACTGACTCAATCTTACGATGGGGAAATGGGTTTTGTACCCAAAACTTTTTTATTTTTACTTAACATTTACAAATCCTATATTTCCTCTTCTAAACGTTTAAAAATATTAGACATTTCCATATTTTGTCCATGTTTTCTGTTTTTTCATTCATTTCTTTAGTGCATTACTGTAGGATTGGATAATCAGAGTTCCAGTAATCACAAATCATTAATCAATAAACAGTTAGGCCTACTAAAGAAATAACTATATTTTAATTTTAATTTTTTATTTTTGTATTTATTTTTATTTCTATTTTATTTTTACTCTCAATACTTGTAAAAGTTAGTTTTTTAAGTACTTAAGTTTGTAGTTCAATGTAAATTTTTATATTTATCTACAGATTATTTTACTTTGACCTATAACACACAAGAGCATTATCAGTAGAAAAAAGACAAACAGTACACAAAGATCCAGAGCAAACATAATAAAAAACTTAACCAAAAGGTATTTTTACAATTCTGTCAACTTCTACATCAAGAAAACCTCCTGATGAGTCATTTCGAAGAAGTTTGGACTATCCGATGTCCGAACCAGCTGACTTCGGACAAGTCGGAACCAATAGTAACACTAATCTACAAATTAACGACACTACAACACTTACAGTTTTTGAGCGAAGTTCCTCCTCAGTTCGGTGAACGTTGAGTAACGGCATGACCCTAACCAGCAACCTCCACCACGGCCAGTCTCTAACACTGAGAAACTTGCGTACATTCCGCTGTATACATCTGACTGCCAGCTGTTCAACCTGCAGACACAAGTTGAGTTAGGTGACTGGGTGAAAGGTTGTTTGAGACACAAAATATAGTACTATATAAGCAAATTGACAACTTAGCCCTTGATTGACCCTTCAGGGACGTCTTAGATTTAAAACACGATCGGTGACACAACAAGATTGTCCAAGTATTAAAACATTAGGCTAAAAATTTAATTTTATACACAAAAGGTATAAAAACCATGTATAACCAATAGAAGAGTAACATACATTAATCAATAAAAAAACTTACTTGACATATTTATAAAAAAAATATATCGAAAAAGGGTGAAATGATGTTTAGTCGGTTCCTAGAAAGAGGTGTGTAAGGTACGTTGTTCTTTAAGCTGCCAGCGAGCAATAAAGCATTTTTTCTATAAAAATGCGTCCGGAAGAGAAGTCTATTTTGAAACCCATTAAGGGTTAAAGATGTAATCAACAACTTGGTGTCTAGACTGTTGATTTATTTCTTCGCCAGCGTAGTGAGCTTGTGGGTATACATGCCGATGTTGTGAACAAGCAGACAATTTCTAAGGGTAGATTTCACAAAGTATAAGTATCTCAATTTCATGCTCAACTTTTTAAAACCAATGAATAATCAAATGACTTTAAAATATTTACGCCTTTTTCAAGGTCTCCAAAAATGATTCTTACAATATCATAGATGTTTACTTATGAGCCTTCAATAAGATAAGTTCCAAATTACAAGGTTGCAGCATTATAGCTGGCATAGCTTTCTTCAACTTATTCCATGATATATTTGTACAAATTTCATGATGAAAGAAACTCTACTTTGGATTAAAACGTTTGCTGCTAAGGGCTAGATGAAAAAGGTCGCGACGGCGTCAGGAGCTGAACTAGCGCTTGCCGCTGCATAACATCGCCGCTGATACACTGAATTACAGTAAAAACAACAGTAGTTATACTGGACAGCAATGTTCTGTGGATAGCAATAAAACTGGTTTTGGACATAGTACTAAGCGATTCTGATAAATAGCAGCACTACCCAGGTTGCAGTTGGTAAAGTAGTGTCACTATCTAGCAGGAAAGAGCCCTGTTCAAAACGACACTGGTGGTGATTTTGGAAAACTATATTTTTTATTGTCAGAAAAGTACGTCCCCACGAACTGCAAAGAAATATAGGACGCTCGTAACGAGCCTGCTGATCCATGGAAACGTTAAACAACAATGAACGTTGACGTACCGGAACGTTCCTAGCTCCTGACGCCGAGGCCCCGCTGACGTTCCGGAACGTCCGAAGCAGCGAATGTGTTAAGAAACTCCTCACAATGGGCTACCGTATTATATATTTAAACTTACACTTTAATGAATCACGGATTCTCAAATGCAAACATAACGATAACTAAGACTTACCTTGCGTTTGGCAAATCTCTTCCTGGCCAAGTAGCCGCGGCAGTGGGCCTGGAAGTGGACGACTCTTCCTGCGAGTTTCTCATCTCGTTGGGACTCCAGCCGTGGCAAAACACCCGCTCTGAAGAATATCTGCAACAAAGGCAAGCCCGTAAACAACCAGAAAACACCCCTTCTTCATTTCACGTTCATTTTTGGTAATGGTAAGATGGAAAGATCTTAAAAGGTTCTACCCGGAGAACTGTAGAGTAGTCTAAAAAAGTAACAACAATCCTGAAAGTAAACACCAAGTAAATATTGAGGGTAGGAGAAGACAAAGTACCTCCATGTGGTGGCTCAAGAAAAGCTGAAGAGTTTAAGCTCATCTCGTACTTAAACTCATCATTTTCATATCAAATCAAGCTCGTACATTTTTGTGAAAGGGACTTCTTAAAAGTCTAAGTTAAAGAGAGAGACAAATTACATTTCCTGTTCAACCTACACTTAGAAGTCAGGACAATATATCAATATTATGTTTGTGCAATTTTACTGTGAATTTACATACAATTATAATTTCCCTGGACATTATTTTCATAAAGACGTGTATGTTACAGCTAAAAGACTATTAACTAATAAACATGTAAATCTAACACTAATCTTATTTCAAATAATTATTAAATAGTTCTTATTTTGTAAATCCATTTTTATATTTTACAAGTTTTTGGGTTCTATCAAAAGATGTATAATAACTTGTCTTTGATGAATAAAAAACAAAGACTATTAGTTATTAATTAAAAAAATCAAAACTATAATCTTCAATCGAGCAGGTACAAGAGATGAAGTAAGACGAGAAGAAGCCAGCGTAAGCAGTTGTCATAGAAACACTGAACGTGCATATCACGACAAGGCTCAGATTTTGTCTACACCACTTCCTTCAGTAAAACTTAGTATCACTTGTCTGTGAAATATGTCTATTTATCTGTCTGTAAATAAGATATGTTTCCAAACCATTTTTGGTGCTATAAAGCAATTGATCATAGAAAGAACGCCGCTGGTTTAGTATTTTTCCTACAACCATCAAAATCTTCCCTTCGGTTAAATTTCCAACACAATTTGAAAATGGTTCTCCAAAACTGAACGGTTGTGCAGAACTTTACCACAATTCATAGAAGATTATTTAAAAAACTTTGAGAGAAAAACATTCCAACATTTGTAGAAGATAATTGGCGCAAAGACAAAGGTATTATGAAAATTGTACCCTTAACAATATTATATTATAAGTTTTAAGTACAGTAATAATATTTTATCCCAAGCACTAATTAAAGTGTTACTACAGCTAGAAATAAATATATCGTGACTTTTATATAGCAATTAATTTACAAAACATGATCAATTACCTTCGCATTACACGCTTCCAAGCGCTACAAACAGATAAAATTAATTAATTTAAAATTCTAGAAAGTTTACTTTCTCCTCTGCAGTTTCTTATAAGGGATTCTTTGTTGATTTGTTTCTGACGAAACATTTAATTTAGATGATATTATTTTTCGACAACAAAAATACAAATTTTGATGAAAATTTTTAACGAATTTATTGTTATTGGTAATTATGTTAAAATGGTACGTCATAAAGCAATTAAAAATATAATAATCGTAGATGGTCAAAAGTGAATATTTAATAATGGATTATTCAAAACTTGGTTTGCAAAAACGAGTATTATTAACTTGTCAAAGGATTATAACAGTTGATGAGCATTCTTAAGTTCCAAATGTTTTTAAATGTAAAAGGAGAAAGATATATAATTAAACTTTCCCTTCAGGGAGTTTGAAGTCCTACTGTTAAACTCTCTAATTATACAGGATGAAAGCATGCGAGATTAAATGAATGCATCAGCAATGTTAGTTTACTAGGAGTTTTTCAGTTAGTCAGCTAGTAAGTAATGTTTTAGTGCCAATAATGAGAATTGTGTCATTAGAATTCCTTTTGAGAAAAAAAATAGTATTCTCTTTTGTTTTATTTCCATCAAAGCTTAACCCTTTGCGGTCGAATGGTGAGTATAGGTCGCCATCCGCCATTTTGCCGACTGCTCAAAAATGGCATGCTATAAGGCAAAAAAAAAAAAAAAATTATATCAAACATTAAAAAAAGTTAATTTTTGCGGTCGAATGGTGAGTATAGTTCACCGGGTGCCATTTTTCAGACTGCTCGAATAGCAAACTATACTCGCAATAAAATGGAGAAAAAATTCGACCTCAAAGGGTCAAAGCATTTTAAAGCTTTGTATTTGTCGGAAAACCTTGTTATACATACTGAAAATTATTGTATGACTTTTAGAGAATGGAGATCTCCTAATGGACTCGGCCGAAGAAGGGCTCTATACCATCAGGATATGGTACGATCATTAGCAAATCACCAATAGTGATAGAATTGAACCCCTAGGATAAAATTAACACGTTATAACATATACCAAAGATGTTCCAGGCGCTTTGTTTTTACAGGTCAATATCGCCATAGCAACCCTTAACTTAACGAACTACCCTTATCCGATATAGCGTAGTTTTTCCCTACATTTTGAAAACCTCATTTTACTAAATGTAAAATTTGCAGACGTTTATTGTCTAGTAACAGTAATAGCCAATTTGCTATTTGCCAATGTTCTGATAGCAAAAGTCTCGAGTATCGAATTAAAACACAAAATTGTATTGAATTTTAGCTTCCTGATTGCATTTAAAAATATAAATTGGTGCAAAGACCTGAATTTATACAATTCATCATGAATCTGCACTAATTTATATTAAAACATAAAGAAAATAACCACTTTCAAAAATTGGTAGCGATTTCAAATATATAAAACTTACTGCAATTAGCATGAAAACTTTGGAATTAACTAAATTTTGACCATGTTTCAACAAAATTTTGTTTTTTAAAACACCCCAGTATAACAGATATTTAGGTTGAACCCTTGATACATGCTGAACTGAAGTTCAACAGAATACAAACTGAATTCTCGGTCTTTGCGTGAGAGTCGAATCAAGTCTGTATTTACACTATTTTTTAGTAATTTCATCCAGTCTATGAGATGCAACTTCAGTAGTGAAGCTGAGACCAGAATACAAATTTTATCCACAGCTGAGAAGCGACATAGCTTAACAGCAATATGTAGAGGTACAACAATATTGTCCATAGACACTGCCTCTTCAATATTTAGAAACCCCTGGTCTATGAACCAGGAGAACAAAGACTTCGGAATGAAGCATTGATTATAAATCAGCAATTTTTCAAGCCATATTTAGAATTTTACATTTCTGCTGCCATTATTATGTATAACTTAGATAGGTGCCTGCCACAAACCGCCATGGAATTAGTAGCGCTAGAAATATTTATATTTGTTAAAAAGAAAAAAAGAGAAAAAAATGTAAATTTTGTTAGTTAAATTTTTGTGAATCAATTGGACCTCGCCGACAATTTTTGCAAACTTGGCGAGGCCAAGATTTTGTATTATCACAAATAAATATATTTGAATTTGAATTATCTAAAAAATCTTAATAATTTGATATTTTACTTCTAAGCGATTGTAGATAGTTAAAACTTACTGCAATTAGCATAAAAACTTTAGAATTGAATGAATATAATAAGAAGCTTGATACTGGTAGTTTATAGCTAAACTATGTTGTGATAATTGAAAACTATTGAAATGCCTAAACGTAACAACAAAGTGCATTCATACCTCGCATTCAGTTCTAAAACGGCGGTCAGAGATTTGTTTACCACTGCTGACGCAGAAAGCTGTGAACAGAAGACAATTCTTGTCTATCCTCCGCCCCAGACAGTCCAGTACTTTAGGTAGAGAAGTTGAACTCAAAGTTACAATTGACGCTTTATCGTTACCAAACAAACATTCACCCTGTTTCGCCCTAATTTTACCATTAGGTACTAGGTAACTGGAGACCACGGGCATGTGTTCATGCTGTATCCTACCCAGCATCACTCGGTGAGTCACTATCCATGCACTATCAGCAGCGTTAGTCGTGTCAGCTATGTTATTGTTTACACCATTATCTTTACACATTACCCTAGGCAATGCTGAATGCCGCTGCGTTTTCCTAGGAGACATATCCAACGTCTTATTCTCACTTTTTTTCACACTCACTTTATCCTCGTCTATTTTGCAACACATTTTCGTCCTGTTCACCACCGTAGGTTTCACCAAAGTTTTGTCGTTTTTCAAGATGACTTTTACATCGTTAGTTTTCGCCGGTCGAACGCCGTTATCAAACACCCGTTTTTTATCACTCGCGGTCACACTTTTAGCTGGTATCAGTTTATCGACAATTTTCGTAGTCTTTTGTTTCTCGCGAGGATCCGCCTTCGGTAGTTTTTCCTCGGGAGTTTTGACGGTGTTCGGTTCGTCCAGTCGCAGCTCGACTCCCGCGGGTTTCCGAGACTTGGGCTGCGGGATCTTGGAGATCTTGGGCGCGGGCATGGCCGCTTGTAGAGCGAGAGCGGTGACGAAGACTACTGCCACTCCGACTACCAGTAGTAGTAGCAGAGTCGGCACCATGACGGCATGGCGGACGGCGCGGCACTAGCGAGCCTGTAGGCCGCGAACTGCCTACGCACGTACCTCGCCCGTCGGCCCACACACACACGTCCCAACGTCCATTTTATTGATCTTAAACACGAGTACGATGAAAACCTTGTTCCGATCACACTAATTTCCACATTTTTTCACATCCCGCATTACCATAATAGATTACAAGGAAATAACACAACATCTAAAATAGGTTAAAATCTAACTCGTTTGCCTAAAATCTACTATTAATGGCCTATCTAGCTATCTTGAAAACTACTACAATTAAATAAAATAACTTTCTTTTAGGCGCACTTAGGGCACATAAGCCTTAATAATAGTTAATTTTTAAGAGCAGTTCAAACAAATCCTTTTAAAATAGCATCGTTGTAATAGCATCACAAACTAAAGGGCTCCATCCGATCTAAGATGAAATTACAGCGTAAACAATCAAACGTAAACATTATAACAAGAACATAAGCTTGCTGTACTGTGACGCGTTCTTTGTTGTGCATACGGCGCCTATTATTACAACATTTGAATCGCGTCGTACACCGCAAGCCGAATATTTTTCAATTGGCGA